AAGATTCTAAACTAACACGAGTCTCATATGTGTCCAGTTTAAGGGTATTACACAGAAACACACCATAATAACATGAATCAAATATGTACTTTATTCATTTACATTAAATGTCATAAGATACATCATTCTGATTGGAGCTAAGGGCATATACTGTCTAACAATTAATTCATGTGAAAATATAAAGATATGGGGAGATCCATGGTTAAAGGACCCCCCAAATTTCAAACTGATGGGTCCAAACCTTGGAAATGATGGTCTCACATGGGTTAAGGACATTATTGACCGGGACAGAAGATATTGAAATTTAGACATCATCAGGCAACACTTTACCAAAGAAATTGAAGAAATGATCCTAAAAATCCCTTTGGCTTTTGGTAACTAGGAAGACTGACTGATTTGGAAAGAAAGCAAAAATGGCTCTTTTTTAGTCAAATCAGCCTATTTTCTTGCTAATAGGGAAAGGTCTGAATCCCAAGCTGGAAATCAGGTGGATGATAGATCACAAATCAATAGACAGAATGGTTTGTCTTGGCAAAAGGTCTGGGGGTTAAAAACTGATCCAAAAATCAAACTCTTTATCTAGAAATGCCTTTGGAATGCAATAGTAGTAAGAAAGAACATAGAAGGAAGAAAAATAGTCCCATCAAATCTATGCCCAATCTGCTCCAAAGAACCTGAAACAATAACCCATGCTCTTTTCCATTGTCATCATGCTAGAATGATGTGGTTTGCTTCTTGCTTTAGCTATAATTCAGATTCTACTCCAAGTGATTTTAAAGAATGGTTTATCGACTGGATTACCAAGTGCAAGCAACTAAAAGACAAAAAGGATGAGTTACTTAGCTGTTCGGCCCTTCTGCTCTGGTCCATCTGGAAATGTAGAAATAGATGTATCTTTGAAAGTGAAAGTCCAAATCCACATTTATCTATTATCTCTTTCAACAGGGCTTGGAAGGAGAGGAGGATTTTGCAGAAAAGATGGCAAGATACTTTGCAAATGTCTAGGGAAGACAAAACTCTTATTTTGTGGAAGCCTCCAATGGAAACCTCTCTAAAGATCAATATGGATGGCAGTTTTGTGAAAGTTGGATTTGGAGCAGTCATCAAAGACCACCTAGGATGCTGTAAAGCTCTGTGTTTTGGACTTGCTTCAGCTCAGTCACCTCTTCAAGCTAAAGCTTTTACTTGCCTCAAAGGCATAAATCTTGCGAAAAATTTAGGTAGGGGCCCTTTTGTGATTGAAAATGACAACAAGTTGTTGATGCAAGCACTAACGTCCAAAAACCTAAGAGGAACTCAAGATGCTTTCTTTTTTTGTCTAGACTCTTGTAAAGACTTAGATATTTCTTTCTCTTTCTCAAGTAGGGAAAGTGATGAGAATAAAATTTATCATATTTTTATCCCCAAATATTCTGTCTTTTATACTGAATTAGTACTTAATTGGACTCATACTTCTTGTATTTCGGTGCAAGGCATGAAAGAAGGCATCAAGAGAAAAAGCAAGGCAAATCGGATGATTTTTCACAGTTTCGGCACCATTCAGTAATCTGGGCATAATTCTCGTATCCGAGATCCGATTGGGCTAATTTAAGACTCACTGGAAAAATAAGAGAGAAATCTACAACTTTCATGTTTTGGGCTTTCGCAGATTCGGTCTGCATCGAAGTCAAATTTGGGCCCGAAGTCGGGACAAATTCGTAGGAAGGCCCAATTCGCAGAGGCAGCCTAATACGAATGCAAGAACAAGAAACTGAGAAGAGTCCTATCAGATTTAAATTTGTGATGTAATCCTAGAAAGATAAAGAGATTGAGTTCACTAGATAAAGAGATAAGAATAGGATTAGATTAGGACTTTCTAATCTTGAGGATAATCTCCTAAGAGGAGTTGGAGAGAGCCCCTCCTCCTAAAGCTAGGGGGGGGACCAACTTTAGGCATGAAGAAGCAGAGGAGCAATCAGTCAAGAAAGCAAGAAGACTGCAAGAAGAAGGTGGCGGTAAGGAGAAGATGAGACCTTAGTTCTAAGGGCGACACCATGAGTTCTTTCTTTCCTCTTGTTTATTTTATTTTCTCTAGTATGAACTGATTTATTTGTAGGTAGGACTATGGAAAGCCTAATCATAACAATGAATATATTTTTATTCTGATTTWTCCAAKATCRTGATTTYCATATAGTCTATGAGTTATCTTGCTTAATGCTATTAGGAGTGACCATCTCTTAATTGATTAGGTTTATGTAAATGAATCGAGAGAGGAATTCATATAGCAG